CGGATGTGTGGCGCGGCTACCATCGCACCCAATGGGTGCGACGGTAAACAGGCGGATGTGTGGCGCGGCTACCATCGCACCCAATGGGTGCGACGGTAAACAGGCGGATGTGTGGCGCGGCTACCATCGCACCCAATGGGTGCGACGGTAAACAGGCGGATGTGTGGCACGGCTACCATCGCACCCAATGGGTGCGATGGTAAACAGGCGGATGTGTGGCGCGGCTACCATCGCACCCAATGGGTGCGCAGGTAAACAGGCGGATGTGTGGCGCGGCTACCATCGCACCCAATGGGTGCGACGGTAAACAGGCGGATGTGTGGCACGGCTACCATCGCACCCAATGGGTGCGACGGTAAACAGGCGGATGTGCGGTACGGCTACCATCGCACCCAATGGGTGCGATGGTCAACAGGCGGATGTGTGGCGCGGCCATCGCACCCAATGGGTGCGACGGTAAACAGGCGGATGTGTGGCGCGGCTACCATCGCACCCAATGGGTGCGACGGTAAACAGGCGGATGTGTGGCGCGGCTACCATCGCACCCAATGGGTGCGACGGTAAACAGGCGGATGTGCGGTACGGCTACCATCGCACCCAATGGGTGCGACGGTAAACAGGCGGATGTGCGGTATGGCTACCATCGCACCCAATGGGTGCGACGGTAAACAGGCGGATGTGTGGCGCGGCTACCATCACACCCAATGGGTGCGACGGTAAACAGGCGGATGTGCGGCGCGGCTACCATCGCACCCAATGGGTGCGATGGTAAACAGGCGGATGTGTGGCGCGGCTACCATCGCACCCAATGGGTGCGATGGTAAACAGGCGGATGTGTGGCACGGCTACCATCGCACCCAATGGGTGCAATGGTAAACAGGCGGATGTGTGGCGCGGCTACCATCGCACCCAATGGGTGCGCGGTAAACAGGCGGATGTGTGGCGCGGCTACCATCGCACCCAATGGGTGCGACGGTAAACAGGCGGATGTGTGGCACGGCTACCATCGCACCCAATGGGTGCGATGGTAAACAGGCGGATGTGTGGCGCGGCTACCATCGCACCCAATGGGTGCGATGGTAAACAGGCGGATGTGTGGCGCGGTCATCGCACCCAATGGGTGCGACGGTAAACAGGCGGATGTGTGGCACGGCTACCATCGCACCCAATGGGTGCGACGGTAAACAGGCGGATGTGCGGTACGGCTACCATCGCACCCAATGGGTGCGATGGTCAAC